GGGGGAAGTTTTAGCTATTGAATCTGAATGAGCACAGAGAAAAATATAGTTTTGCATGGAATTTGAAAATCCATCAACCCAAACTTGTCTTGGTTCGAACTACATGTCTAAAAAGAAATCAGAAAAGAAAACAACATGCAAAATGAATATCTCTGGCAATTGTTGCTACAAACCAAGAGAATGCCTATCGGCGAGTGAAAGTGGTAACTTCAGGGGAAATAACATAATAGCAAGACCTGATGGTCTCGCATTTGGAAGACGGTTGGGGATTACCTGAAAAATAACCTATCGGCGTCTGAATCGCTAAGATCTACCGGATGTCGCTTGCGGTTGCCTCTCACTCTGTTCCGTCCAACGGTATCGATTAAGTTTTGGGAGTATCGAAAATAGGGTAAATTAATCGGCGAAGTGGTGTTATGGGGTACCGTGAAAGCAAGAGGCACGATATTAATATGCCCCTCTATTTTTAACAAAGAAAATAAGTTACAACTATTTTAAATAAAGTGATGGACTAAAAGTGTTTTTTGTCTTCATATCCTTTCGTCTCGTTTTGTGAATAAGTAATTAGGATTTGAAGAGAAAAAAAGTAATATTTCGATGGAGCGCGTAAGGACAAAAGCGAAAACATAAGTGGCAAAATAGTTTCATGCTTGGACCCAGAAATTGCATATGTCGATTGCTCAATTGACTACCAGTTTTATGCTATTTTGTGCTATTACTCAAAAAACTAAACTATTACGACATTTTGCTAACAACAAACATTAAGTCCCTAATTAAATTATTAATAAAATAATCGGGTCTTTAAGACCATCTCTAATTTATTTTTTCTTTTCCTACTTTATTTAAAATAAAATAACTTTAAAATGGAATTGTGTTTTGCTCCAATGTATATTTTATTTTTTATTTTAAAAAATGAATATTCTAAATAGATTTTTATTCTATTTTATTATTAATATTTTTTAGTTTTAAAATATACAAATAAAACTAGATGAGTGTTGCAATGTTACTTCTTGACACCCACGCAACAAACCAAGAAAAGGCCCAGGGCCGGCCTATGGGGTAGGGCATCAAAAATTTTAGGGGTATCATTTTTAAAAATGTTTAATATTAAAACTATATATATATATATAATTTTAAGTTAAAATTTATTATGAATGATTTATAATCTACAATGTCAAAAAAAGATTGAATGGACTGACTTTATTATCAACTTAGACAGTTATGGTTGGAAAATTATATTATGTGCATTTAATGAATAATTTTACAGCAAAAATGTAAAAAAAACTATTTTTAATGATATATATTTTTTATAAACTATTTATAAATTTATTATGCTTGTTTAAAATTGAATTTTTCTTTTTATAAATTTTTTAACTATAGTTTTTTTATATTAAATATAGAAAAAAAAATATATTTTAGATTTGAATAAAACACCAAAAATCATCGGACCGGCACTGAAAAGGCCTCAACTTCTTGTTTCTCAACAAGATCACCAAAAGGAACACCCCTATGTACGCTCTTTCGCAAATATAAAAGTCTCCTTTTCAAAACTTTTTTCCTATAATCATCCTTAGACAATCTCACAGTATAACGTATCTTCATCACACTTCACAATGTCCTTCACAATTAAAGATAAAGCCACCATCATCGCGAAGCTTCTCCACAACGTTGCTCCCGTATTTTTAGTTTTTTTTTATAAAAAGGGAATACTATATATATAAGTCAAGAAATTATGATTAAACACGCATCCGATGGATTTTGCCGAGTATCAAAGATTCAAAATGAGTTAATGAGCTGACTTAATTAAGCTCTGCAATGCTTCCATATTTATGAAACGCAAGGTCCAGTAGCAACGTTGTAAAAACCGATAAATTTTTAACTCTTGCCTAGACTTTAACAAAAAAAACGGTGTAAAAACCGATAAATTTACTATTTATTTTTTCGTATATATCTTTAATTCATCAACTACCGTTTTAAATATATCATTAAATTTATGCATGGTATTTGGATTAAAATCTTTTATTCCGAAATTACTAGTGTGCAGAAAGATTGATGAGGAAGTATAAAGATAATAATTAATTGGTGGGCTTTATGATTTTGTGGAGAAAACTATTCTGGCAGGAAAAAAAGATTGTGTAATGTAAATGAAACTTACTGGTTAAAAAATCTTGTAAATGAGGTTAATGCAAAATGGTCATGATCGAACCAAGTCATGATAATAGTACTAGAATACGAAAACTGAGTTTACACAAACAAATAGTAAACAAGAAAAGAAAACAAATCAATAGATGGACGTCAAATTGTTAAATTTTCAAAATAGCGAATTTGGTGTGTTGCAAGGTTACATATATAAATTATCAAAAAATAACATATTTGCAAGTATATATATTATTATTATTTTTTTTTTATATTTGCTTAGATTTTTCTTAGATTTTGTATATGTCTTGCTCATTTTTTTTCTTTTTGGTGCTGCATGATTGCAACATAATTTGTTGAAAAACTTTAAATCAACTGAATTTAACGACCTGACAATCTAATGTATATTTGGAGGTTGAAGATTGGTTATTGAGGTTCTCCAATCTCATAGTCCGAGGAAGTTAGTGAAAAGAGTTTTTTTTGTTTCTTTGTTGTTGTGTGTGGTTTCTGATCGATTGGTAATGATGTATATATAGTTGGGAAATTTTTATAATTACACTGAAAATAAGTTTTCAAGACAAAATATAACAGAGAAACTAAAATTGTTCTACTCCTAACATTTTTCATTTGAGTTTTCTGATTTTATCCTTTTGGAAACTCTTCCTAGAAGTTTTTTTTTCTGTTAATATTTCGTGATTTTTTTTAGGAAGGTCTTCCAAATACTAGAATTTAACATTGTTTCATATGGTTTATGAAAGCTTTCCTAAATTTTTTTTAAAAAAAATTGAATTGTGGAAGGGTTTCCTGAATTGTGGAAGAGCTTCATGAATTGTGGAAAAATTTCTTAAATTTGGGTTGTATAAATTAACTGAAATAATAATCAATTATACGATTATACGATTTACTAAGGCATTCATAAATATATATAATGACTTCCTTAATTTATACATTTTAGGAAAGTCTTCCTAAAATTTTAGAATATCTTCCTAAATTTACGCTCATCTTCTTCCTCACCTCGGCGACATTCAAACCCTAATTCCCGCTGACTTTTTTTTTTCACCATTGTTGCTGTTTTAGCTCGGGTTTCTTGAGTTTTTCACCCACTTATATCAGATCTATCTATCATTATATGATTTTGAGTTTTAAATCCTGAAATCACTTTTCCATAAAAAAAACCCCAAAAATCTAAGAGATTCACAATCACAAATCACAATCAAATGATAAGAGTGATCCTAAACAAAACAAATGATTCAAATTTCAGATCAGTTTTGGTCATTGATACATTTGTTTGTATATTATTTTTCTTCTCTTTTTATTAACTAATATTTTGTCTAATTAAGATTAATATGATACAAAATGTTATGTATGGAATTTTTTAGAGTTTAGTGTATATGTGAAACAAAAACTTAGATTAAGTGCATTCGAGGGAATTTCTCTATATAGTTTTATATTCAATTTATCTACTGATTTATTTTATCTTTTTTTCATATTCTTCCATTTAATGTTCCCTTTAATGTTTCGAGTTTAAACAATGCTTTTAGAATGACACTTTTTGACGTATTTTTTTTAACAATTGTCAATTTATTATGTATTAAATATATTATTATTTTCCTGAGAATGTCTTCCTACGTATAAAGTAGATTTTAGTGAAATTAGAAGGCCGAACCGAATTATTCATAATCCTTTTTATCTCGACAAGGTCCAATACGAAAAACAAATGACGTCCCGGTTCACATAAACCAAAAGGAAATTACAACATATGGAAATTAAATATATATTGGTTTATAGGGTTATATTTTATTTGTTGGACAACATATAAAAGGGTGGAAAGGTAGATATACACTCATAGAGAGAGACATTTTTATAGACTTCAAAACATATATTCACTTCTGCAACTTGACTATGCAGAGACTGCTGCTGATGCTATGTAATCATAGGGATTGAAGGCGATGCACATTATTTCTTTAAAGTCTCCATCAAATAAAGTTACAGTAACCTTATTATACCTCCTCACAAATTAAAAGAAATAAAGAAAGAGTTACTTCAGTTTTTGGTAATATCATAATTTCTATGCAAAAAGTATACGTCAATATCGAGAGTTCCACACATCAAAATCGAAAATACTTTAATTTTATTATTATTAATATTAGTTTATTTTGAACCACAGTAGACATTATTTAATTTTTAGGGAGGAACCATAAACTATAAACGAATCATTAAACATTCTTTCTTTTTTTACGTAGTTTCATCATTTCACTTTTTCTCTAATTTTTTCTCTGTCACTAATGTCGTTACTTTTTTTTCGTATTGCTTACTTTATTTTTTTTCTTTTCTTTCTTGTTTGTCGTGATCTTATTTGAGTCGGTTGCTATGCTAATGCTAGCATTTTGGGAGAAAACTAATAAATATATGTATTTAGCCTATTATACTACTTGTTTTGTTATATTTTTTTTACAAAATGTGTATAATTTAACCTTATATATAATAATTATAATTATTAATTTGTTTTATATAAATTTGGATGTAAAAATTATTAAAACTGAAAATAATTATTTATAAAAAAAATAAACCTTAAATAATAGTATGGGTAGATTATGATAAATTTCTGAATTAGTGGATGGCACCACAGTTGTAACAAAGCCTAAAATGTCAATGTTATACAGAATGTTCATTGGGCTTTGGATTCTACCGGCCCAACACAATCGTGCCACCTGATTATAGATATATCCTACAGAAATAATTCAAACGGTCGAACAAAAACATGGGCCCTAATTTTGTCTCATCCGTTGGATTTCATCTCGCGATCACAGAGATTAAAATGAGAATACACATGTGGGTGTTGTGAAACAAAGTGCTCTCGATCTAGAAATTCAAATTCTCTCCATTAACGGCTCTCTCTCTCTCTCTCTCTCTCTCTCTCTCTCTCTCTCTCTCTCTCTCTCTCTCTCCTTCCCTTCTTCCTCGTTTCTTTGCCCGAACACCGACTGTTGCAAGCAGTAGCTTTGCTCTTCTTCTTCCTCTCTTCTTCTTTAGGGATTTGAATTGGAGAATGAAGCACTTCATGATGCCAAGAAACGCTGTCTTGCGGGATATCGGAGAGCCGCAATCGCCGAGCCCTAGCTTGACGAAATCGAAGTCCCAAAGGAAGATGAAATCGTCCAAAGAGAACGCCCCGCCTCCGGATCTGAACTCGTTGGTGCCTGATTATAGGTCGTCTCCGGCGAAACTGAAGAGTCCACTGCCTCCGCGTCCGCCGCCGGCTAATCCTCTTAAACGGAAGCTCATCGCGGAAGCTGCGTCGGAAAACGGAGTAGCTGGGGTTTCTTCGGACTCCGGTGTCAAGGTAGTTTGAGCCTTTGAGGTTTTTTGTTCATTTCTTTCTCAGAAATCGGAGAATCCCGTAGCGAAATCCCTAATCTCTTGGATGAGTTGATCAAATTATATGTTCCAGATTCTAAAATTCCTGAACAAAATGAAGAAACATTCTTTTCTTTGGCTTCTATTTTTAGAATGTTTTAGTTTCAGTTTGGTCTCACTGTGAGTGTAGGAGACCTGAAATGTCATTAGATTCAACTAAAAATTGGCTAATTGTTACAATTAGTTCGATTTCTCACAAGTGAACTGAAGTGGGACTAAGTACTGTTCAAGCTCATCTCTAAGTCTCTACAGCTGCATATTTCAACAACTTTAATGGCACTTCCTTAATAAAGCCTTTGTGTCGTTTTGTAGGTTATAGTCAGAATGAAGCCTCCAAGCAAAGGAGAGGAAGAGGAGATGATAGTTAAAAAGATCTCTAGCGACGCCCTCACCATTAATGAACATACTTTCACTTTCGACTCAATTGCTGATCCGGAGTCAACACAGGCAAGAACTTAGTTTTCATAATTGAGGTGTCATTATAACTATATTGTCGAATGTTTTACATAATTCTGAGTCCTTATCTATTTTTTTGTGTGTATTATTTGCAGGATGAAATCTTTCAGCTTGTGGGAGCACCTCTTGTAGAAAACTGCCTGGCTGGATTTAACAGTTCTGTTTTTGCCTATGGACAGGTTTTTGTTTCTAATCATTTTTCAGTGTCTTACTTTAGCCTTTAGGCTTGTGTTACAATTTCTTAACCAGAAGATTGTGATTTTAATCATGAAAACACATTTTCATCAGACTGGTAGTGGGAAAACGTATACCATGTGGGGACCTGCAAATGGATTGTTGGAAGAGCATTTGAGTGGTGATCAAAGAGGTTTGACTCCACGGGTCTTTGAATTGCTCTTCGCCCGTATCAGTGAGGTGATGCTTGTTGTTGTTTACTTTCAGTCCTTTTCATCTTGTGAAAGGAAGGCAGCACATTCAAAAAGTTGATTTTCTTTTGTTTGCAGGAGCAAGTGAAGCACGCTGATAGGCAGCTCAGTTACCAGTGCCGCTGTTCTTTTCTTGAGGTTCAATGAGTTGATGCAACTTTAGTTTGTTGGTGTGTTTGATGTTTTCATTTCTCAAAGCTTGGTACTTATGGTTCTCTTTCCCATCTTTCATTGCAGATATACAACGAGCAAATAACAGATCTTTTGGATCCGAGCCAAAAAAACCTGATGGTAAAAGGAACTTGCAACTTAACTTGTCTTACATTTTAAGGAAAAAGAACTTGCAAAAAAAACTGATGGTAAAAACCTGATGTTTTCTGTTTTGAATTAATGTTGTATCAGATTAGAGAAGATGTCAAGTCAGGTGTTTATGTTGAAAATCTGACTGAGGGATACGTGAAAAACTTGAAGGATTTGTCACAGCTTCTGATTAAGGTTTGTTGCGCCCTCTCAGTTCATGTTTCTCGTAGGAAATTAATCCCTTCCCATTTTAATCTGAAAGATTTTCTAGAGTGTTTGCTCAAAATGTACACATACACTTGGGGTTTCTGTGTGCCATACCATTGTTAACATTGCTTCGTTACAATTTGGAAGACATTTTATTCGAATTTAACGTTTCAGCTTTGTTAGTGATTCTATGCAAATCGAATGTCAAAAATAGATGTTAACATCATCAAAGCATGTCAAAGTATTGTAGTATAGACAGTCTGAGCTATTTTGCTGCTCTGAAATGAGTATCTTCAATAATGCTTTCGTTTGAAACTGGTGCAGGGCTTGTCAAACAGAAGGACTGGTGCAACAAGTGTAAATGCAGAGAGTTCAAGGTCGCATTGTGTATTTACTTGTGTCGTTGAGTCCCATTGCAAGGTGGGCTGTTCTCCTTTATTAAATTTTCATATGTACTGGCGACTGTAAGGTTCTTAAGAATAGCCTACGAGGCTCAGATGCTTACTAGTCTATCAGTCGTTTAGTTCATTGTTTATTATAATGTTATGGGAGTCGAATCTATACCTAACAGCATTTTAATGTTACAGAGTGCTGCAGATGGTCTAAGCAGCTTCAAAACAAGTAGAATAAATCTTGTTGATCTGGCTGGTTCGGAAAGACAAAAGTCAACTGGTGCAGCAGGAGAACGTTTGAAGGAAGCTGGGAATATCAATCGGTCACTTTCTCAACTTGGGTAAGATCAGAATAATCTTGTTGATCTGGCTGCCTATTGATTATCCTTTTCAAGTTTATATTGCATTATCTTTATCTAGGGAGTATGTTTGATGCTGTAGCATATTTGAATCTGGATTTTGATAACAAACACTAAAGCTATGGGAAAAAGGAACACAGTTTGAAAATGATAGTCGTCACTTCTGACTTCTATGCCATATTACATATGTGATGCTACAGAGTCTGAAACTGACAAGCGTAGATACATATGTTAACCATACGAATTTTTTACTTGCAGGAATTTGATCAACATTCTCGCAGAAATATCACAAACAGGGAAGCAAAGGCATATACCCTACAGAGATTCCAGGCTGACATTTCTATTGCAGGAGTCTCTTGGTGGGAATGCAAAATTAGCTATGGTCTGTGCAGTTTCTCCCTCGCAAAGGTAAACTCGAGAATTTGAATTTCTCATTCAGAAATTATTTTATCCTCTACTTTTCTGCAAATTAACATAGCATCATAAATTGCAGCTGTAGAAGTGAAACATTCAGCACCTTGAGATTTGCTCAGCGTGCAAAGGCGATACAGAACAAGGCAGTTGTCAATGAAGTAATGCAGGATGATGTAAATTTCTTGCGGGAAGTGATTCGCCAGCTGAGGGTATGTATTCTTTTGATTACCTCATAAAATATAAATACAATTTTACAAATGTAAATGTAACTTCTAATGTAAACTGTGCAGGAGGAACTGCAAAGGGTGAAGAATAATGGAAACAACCCAGCCAACCCAAATGCAGCTTCTACCACTTCCTGGAATGCTCGTAGAAGTATGAATTTGTTAAGAAGCTTTGGCCTGAGTCATCCAAAGTCATTAGCCAATGGAGATGATGATGGAGATACTGAGATGGAAATTGATGAGGAGGCTGTTGAAAGGCTTTGTGCTCAAATAGGCCTGCAGTCATCTCCACCTGCCGAGGAGAACAATCAGGATATGAGCAGAGTAGAGAAAATCAATTCACCCCACCTTCAAACATCTGATGGCCAATCTACAGGAAAGCAGTTTCCTGACGATACGGATGTTAACATGGAGGATGCAAGTTGCCAAACTGAGAACCATGAGGCAGCTACTGTTGATAATGCGTTACCTGTGGCAGAAACTGGCATCACAACAGCCGTGCAAACCATGGATCATGCTTCAGGTGTACAGTCTCCTTTGATAACCAGTTCTCTTGGTTCTTGTGTTAGTGACACAAACCATGACAATTCACCTAGCAAGGCGGAGAACATTCCATCATGCCAAGACTTGGTTCCGGAAGGTCTTGTTTCTGCAATTGCTGGTACAGAACATTCCTCAGTTAGTCCTTTGTCACCTTGCCTCAGCATAGATCCAGCAAGTGTTTCTCCTGTACTAATAACTCCCACTGAGAGCATCTCTCCTAGGATTAGAAATAGCAGGAAAAGCTTGAGGACATCATCAATGTCCACGGCATCACAGAAAGATATCGAGAGAGAGAACCAATTAACTACAGAAGTTGTGGAACCTTCTCCGGCTATGTCCACAGAGTTGTTAAACCTATATGGCGCTTTGTCTACAAAGAAAAGTGAAGCTTTCCCTGTGCCAACTAGGCAACTGGCAGCTAGCCTCCACAAAGGCATGAAGATTCTTGACTCTTATCGCCAGAGTACTGCTCAGAGACGATCCACATTCGGATTCTCCTACAAAGCTCTAGAATGCAAGCCTTCGACAGTTTTAAGTAAGGCTGATGTAGGTGTGCAGACTTATCCCGAAGCTGAGATAATAGCAGAAGAGAAACCAAAAGAAGTACTGTGCAGTAAATGCAAAAGCATAGCAGAATGTGATGATCAAGAAACAAGTGACACTTCAAATCTTCAGTTAGTACCATTTGACAACTCAGAAGTTTCAGAAAAGTCCAATTTTCAAGTTCCTAAAGTAAGGATTTCGTTTACAGTAGGTTTCGTATACGTTCTGCATTTGTATAGTGTAACGATATAATGGGAGTTTTCATGCAACTTACAGGCGGTGGAAAAGGTTCTAGCAGGGTCTATCAGAAGAGAAATGGCTTTGGATGAGTTCTGCAATAAGCAAGCCTCTGAAATATCGCAGCTTAATCGTCTGGTATGATCCTAGCTTATGTTTTGGTTTCGTTAGCTTCTCTTCTCTACTTTCTATAAAACAAGAGAACCTTTCTAAATTCTCTCCGACCAATGTAACAGGTGCAACAGTACAAACATGAGAGAGAGTGCAATGCCATCATAGGACAAACAAGAGAAGACAAGATTGTTCGCCTTGAAAGCCTCATGGATGGAGTCTTATCTAAAGATGATTTCCTCGATGAAGAATTTGCATCTCTCATGCATGAGCATAAGGTAATAACAATTTTTGGGTTTCCGTTATTTGAAAAGATTCTTGAATCGATGCAGAAAAGTTTCCTTAACATATAATAATAATAATGCTGCAGCTTCTGAAGGACATGTATGAGAACCACCCCGAAGTATTGCAGACGAGGATTGAGTTGAAGAGAGCGCAAGAAGAGCTCGAAAGTTTCAAGAACTTTTACGGTGACATGGGAGAAAGAGAAGTGTTATTGGAGGAGATTCATGATTTAAAGGCGCAGCTACAATGTTACACCGACACTTCACTTACATCGTCTCGGAAAAGAGGTTCCCTGCTTAAGCTAACGTACGCCTGTGACACTAATCAGGCTCCACAACTTAATACCATTCCTGAGTCAACAGACGAGAGCAGTCCTGAGAAGACATTATTAGAACAGGAAAGACTTCACTGGACTGAAGCAGAGAGCAAGTGGATCTCTTTAGCTGAGGAGTTAAGAACAGAACTCGATACCAACAGGAAGCTAATGGAGAAGCAGAAACGCGAACTCGATACAGAGAAAAGATGCACAGAGGAGTTAACGGAAGCGATGCAGATGGCGATGAAAGGTCATGCAAGGATGATTGAACAGTACGCAGACCTGGAAGAGAAACATATACAGTTGCTCGCAAGACACAGATGGATCCGAGAAGGAATCGACGATGTTAAGAAAGCAGCAGCGAAAGCAGGAGTCAAAGGAGCAGAGTCCAGATTCATAAACGCACTCGCGGCAGAGATCTCGGCTTTGAAAGTGCAACGAGAGAAAGAGGCACAGTACTTCAGAGACGAGAACAAGAGTCTTCAGTCACAGCTAAGAGATACAGCTGAAGCTGTTGAAGCAGCAGGAGAGTTACTTGTTCGACTTAAGGAAGCTGAAGAAGGATTGAAAATTGCACAGGTAAACAACAGTACACATTTCTCTTTAAAACATTTAAAAAAATCTGCAATTTTTGGTTATCGTATGTCTCTTTACTTAATGGCTTGTGAATTCGCAGAAACGGGCAATGGATGCAGAGTATGAAGCAACAGAAGCGTATAAACAGATTGAGAAATTGAAAAGGAAACACGAAACCGGACTTAACCAACAACAACAACAACACGTTGCAGAGTCAGTGAATCAGATAGAGTCTTTTGATGGAGATGATGTGGCTAAATATGATGAGCCAGTGGAACCATCAGCAGCAAGTGAAGGTGGTGGTGATCAGCAATGGAGAGAAGAGTTCGAGCCATTTTATAAGAAAGACTCAGAGTTGGCTAAGCTCGCTGAACCTTCTTGGTTCTCGGGGTATGACCGATGCAACATATAAGTTTCGTTTTCCAAAACATATTTTTCTTTCTTTCTGTAATGTGTATAGAAGAAAAAAAAAACTTGACATGTTGAGGTCTGATCTCATTCTGTGAGATATAGAACTATAAAAGTTTGCAAAACTTATCATTGTATTCTCATTGTATTTCTTATATTCTATAAACCCATTCTACAATTTCTTATATTCTCATTGTATTTCTTATATTCTATAAACCCATCTTTCATTATAACGATGTATTTGCTAGATTCCTTGTAAGAAAATTTGATTTATCACAATAGTAGCGACAAAGCTCTAAAAACACTTTAAGGCGGTTTCTGAAGTTATCTTTCTCAAAGAAAAAAAAATACATATAATCTTAAATTAATTAACTTCCAGAGTTCTTGAACCATATAGTGATTAGTGATGGAAACTTCGGTTTCAAGTTATTCTATTTTTTGTTACTTCAACATATTCTGATTATATAAATTTACAATTCACACATAACAGTTAATGTGTATCAGTTGATGGATGACAAAGTCCAGCAGTGGAAATTACTATTTCATTTTTTTCTTTCTGTGCGGTAAATATAGCTTATATAAATTTGAAGTTTCAATATATCCGCTGTAGCATAAAGGTTAATGATGAACAATTTCTGGATTCGAAACCCAGCAGTAAATATTACTTTTTCATTTTTTTCTGCGTGGAATTTTTTTTTTTTTTTAAATCACATATCACATATACCAACAATTCTACTGTAACACAATGGCTAGTGCTCTGTTCCAGGTTCGAAGCCTGGATATTCTATTTTCTTGGAAGTCAACACCTCGACATCCACACTACCAAATTTCTATAATTTCTAGAGTTAATATATAGATTAATTAATCAATAATTTGCTGTTTACTAGTACTCGTTTTTGGGATATTTGATTACTCCAGTGATGGAAAGTCTTTAGTCTTGGTTCTTAGTTGTTGGATATTAGGTTGTATATGACCACTGTACTGTTTGTACATCGTAATTTAAAAAAAAAAACAAATCTAGACACGTTTAGATTTATAATAACTTAATAAGCAAACAGGTTACCAAAAGATGCTTCAGCAATTTTTCTAGGTCCTAACAACAAGATCCGGATTTTAGGGATCTAAAACGTGAACGCGACAGTGATTCAACAAATTTGCAAGAAAAACATATTCAAGTACGCAAAATTTCGAATTATAAGAATACGATTTTTCTTTCTTTTTGTTTTTGTTTGCATATGTGTAGTATGCATGTGCATGTCCTTTTAGACTATAAATAGACGAATCAGATGGTGAAACATGCTACATCTATCTAACAAGTGACTACATTTATACAACTCTTCCTTTCTCTCTCTCTCTCTTTCTCGTTACTCGGCTTGAGAGAGTACTAATCGTCACTCTTTGAGCCAATCACTTCCTCTCTCTCTCTTCGTGTAAGTAATTATAGAAGAACACATTCACAATTTATGTCGTGAATATCGTTTGTAGGATTTGGATCCACTTGCACTGAGATTCACACAGTCATGGAGCCGAAAGTGACACACATGTTCATCAGTTCATGTCTTCTCACTGATAGCAAATGGATCGAACGAATCTTTTCATTTTTGTTGCTATGGTGGGAAAACATGAGCATGTCTCTCACTTTCGACTTTATGAACGCGTCAATCTCTTGCTCAAGTGCATCCAACTCATACGAAGATAAGAGAGATGATACAACTCAAGAATAATGCTGTGAGCATATATATACCAAGATTCGGTCAAATTGTCTCTATCATGTATAACTATATAAGTGTATGTTGATGCATTTGAATAAATTAAACTATTTAAAGTACTTTTATTTGTCCAGTTTAGTTTCGAAGTTGTTATGAATTCATGTGAAAACTCGGGTGAACTTTTCGAACGTAAAAGAAAGACAAACGACTTGAGGTGCATAAATTATTATAAGTTCAAACCCGATATCAATAAAAATATAAGATACGAGAATATTTCATTTTCATTATACATTCTCGAGCCCCTTGGCAGTATATACTAATTTCAAGTCATTACTTTTTGAATATATTTGTCCATACAGAACAACACATTGTTTTCTTTCTATAAGATTTGTTAGAACAAGGGTACACAATTAGCAACGTCTACAAATTCAAAGAGAAAACTTCTTTTTTTATTTCCGTAAAAAGTGGGAAAAGATCATTTATATAAAAAGTGAAGCAAACTTGTTCCCGTTTCTTAATTACACGTTGAGCAATAACACTACAAGAAAACATATATATATTAGGGAAATAGTACAAAATAGCAAAAGATCGATTGTTAATTAACGGATCGACATATGCCATTTATGCGTTTAAGCATTAAACTAATTTGTCCCTTTTTATTTCTTTTTTACCTTCACTCGCGGTTCCTCTTTTTTTCCCGATGAATTAATTTATTCATTTTTTCCATTAAATCCGATATTACGTGTATACCCAAAATCGAACGATGGGGTTTGGAGACCAATAACTGTTTAGTTTCAACTTTATTTACAAATGTTGTAACTTATTTTTTGAGCATTGCATATAGACCGGCATATTTATAACACCTTTCTTGTTCTCACGGAACCCTATACAGCCACATAGCTGCTTCGATTACCCTCTCTTCCAATACTCCCAAAACAAAATAGAGACAGGGCGACGAAACAGAGTTTTGTGGCGATTATCGGCCGTAACCGGAAGAAGCTAGCAATCTCCCCGCCGACAGTTGATTATTCAGGTAAACTCAACCGCCACACCCACCGGAGCATCATGGTTCGCCATTTCCTTTATCACATATAGTACTATCCTTTTACGGCGTTTTGGGTTTTATTTGGGTGTTCCGATAGGATTACTCTTCCAATTTCTGTTTTTATTTTCTCTTCGGAGCCAAATCTTGTTCGGGTGATTTGCCGTTGTTTTAATCGATAGTGGGAAGTGATTCCCCATTTGGATTGTTTTTTAATCTTAGATTTTCCCAGAAATATCACCTTAGTGTCAAAATATTAGGTCTTGAAACCAGATCTTCAATAATTCAAACAAAATCTTAGATCTCCAAACCAGATCTTCACATGCATATATGCACATTCGCTCTGATGGTTAGCTAGATAAGCTTTGGGATTTCGACTTTTCCAGACAGGTAACTTTACTACAAACCCGGGTAGCCCTGTATCTTACGTTATGGATCTCCAACAATGTAATCAGATACCCGAATATATGGATGTCTAAGTTTGAGTGTGTGGCCTTATAAATCAGTATGCGGGTGTCTTTTTGTAGGTGGCCGTGACTTCAATAATCGAAGGCAAATTCGATGGAACCCCCCAAAGTGCCTTCACATGGGCCGATGAAGTAGATGACCCCAAGGTGGATCACATGGAGATGCTATCTTCACCTTGCAGTCTTGTTTGTTCTTGAACACACGCCCCAAATACAGTTCATCTCCCTTATATGCCACCTCCAATATGACATTCTATGTTTGATCCAATCTTGAGAAAATCCATCCATTAAATACATTAGATGTCTTTAACTTTTTTTACTCTTCAATGTAATGTTCTTTTAGCAGCCATTCAGATAATCGTCCATCATATTTAATAACACTTCACTAATATTAATAGACAGCTATATAGCCTCATATACTAACATATATTATAGTTATAGGAGCAACATAAAATCTATGAAAGAAAATATCACACTATAATATAATTTAAGGGCACGCGATCCGTTGAATATAATAAATATAACAATCTATGGAACAACATAACTTTTTGAGAGACGAATATAGCACTCCATTAATGTTAATAGACGTCTACAATACACTTATATCATTACAAATCTCCATCATTTTCAAATAACCCGTTACAAGTTTATATCTGGCCCGCACCAAGTTTATATCCATCCAACAACACAAATCGCCACACCTCCCGCATCTTTCATCCACCACCCCTGTTCTGCCCGGACTAGATTGCTGAGGACTTCCCAAAGTTGCATCATTATGATATCTGGTTCACATAGTTGTGGTTATTAATAACAGAATCACTTCAATATTAGTCACAGATATTCATAAACGAAATGACTGTACCAGAATATACGTGTACCTACTCCAACCGGTTGTAGCGCTACATGAAATTAGAGGGAGGAAACCACAATTTATGGAGACTCCACATACCTAGGTGTACGCAGATATTTTCACTTTCCCGCCACTCACTACAAAAATCTTGTTCCAACATTAGTAAATTATAATAACTATCCATCCCCTCAGCCTATCTCATGCATACGTCAGGCGGCTTATAGATTATGTTGTCTCCCCATTTAATGCTACAAGAAGCGTATCTGTTATCGCCAACTCCTCTCGCTCTTAAACTCAGTTGTTTATAACATATTATTCTAGCTCCACATAACCACGCACGGTACATGGCAGACAGCGTAATATTAAGAAACATTTTTTTTCTTTCGGCATCCTTTTGCCATTTTGTTCTAGTTCATAAACATCTTGTTGATTTGTAGGTATTTTGTTATCCACCTCTTTATCCCTATATATTAACAGATATATTTGTAGGTATTTTGTTAGAAATCACCAATTTCAATGAGTTTTCTACAAAAGAAAATTTGTTGGTTAGAACCATTTGAAAAAGAAAATCAGAATTTTGTTGGAAAATTGAGAAGAATTACAAATAAACTATTTTGATAGCAATTTGCTAGAAATTACCAACAAATTCTCGAGAAAATATTTTGATGAATAAGCCGTTGGAAACTTATTAGTAATTTTTAACAAATTCTCATCAAAATATTTTGTCAAACAAATTGTCAAAATTTTGTCAGTAATTTTCAATAAATTCTTTCAAAATTTTCTGACACACAATTTTTAAATTTCTATAAATTAATATTTTAATAAATTAATATTTTTGTTAGTTATAAAATTAATTAATCAACTAAATAATATATTTATAAATTAATTTATATAAATTAATAAGTGTCATTAGTTGAGCCGAAATTTGGACTAATCTTTTTTTCATCAAATTTGTTGAATTTAACTAGAGCATTTTAATGTATTGACAGGTTATAACAGTAATTAAAATGTCATTGCATTGATTCGATAAAAACTGAATTCACATCCTGCCCCCATTTCATTTGTAATTGAGATTAAGTTTTTACGTTATGAACATTATCTAGAGAACACATTGTTTTTAATAAAATGATCATATAAAGAGTATCATCCATCATCCCCCACCTATCTCAAATGAATGTTCTCATCATCCACCCATATCTCAAATGAATGTTCTCTCGATGGAGTCGTCAACGTTGGAGGATCTTCAATAGCTTGATATGCTTTATTTAGTCCAATAATGTTATTAGTTGAGCTGGAAGTCAAAATTTGGATTATTTTTTAAGATTAATTGTTGTTCAATTTAATTAAATCATTGTTGATGTATTCTCAGCGTTATAAGAGTTGATTAGAATGCCATTGCATTGATTTACGAAAAACTAAATTCACAGCCCATCCCATTTCATTTGTAGTTTTAGATTTTTAAGACTATTATTACATCTAGGAGGGTCTTGCAAATTCTATAATGAGAAAAATTAGCAAATTCTTTATGCAAAGCATGTACCTGTATTGCACAATGTATCAATACAAGTTGTTAGCTGAAGTGATTATCATTTAACAATTGTTTAAATATCCTGCAACCCCAATGATGGTCATTATTATGGCGATTTTCATAACAGCTATGACTTGCTTTATGAATCCAATCATTTCCAAAAATAAGCGATCAAAATTAAAACACTATTACGATTTAGAGAAGATCAGAGAGAAATAGTTTTGAGAAAAAAACTGAATATGTCTTTGCTTAATTAATCAAGGAGCTGTTTACAAAGTATATATATACTACTGTACAATCTATTGAGCTAAACCTGGTTCTGATACCATATTACGATTTAGAGAAGATCAAAAAAAAAAAAAGTTTTGGGAGAAAACTGAATATTTCCCAGCTGTTTACAAAGTATATATACTCTACTGTACAATCTATTGAACTAAACCAGTAAAAAGAAGCTGATTTAACCATGCAACTAAACCAGAAATAACCCACACTCTAATAAACACAAATATTCATATTTTTACTTGAGACTCATTATGGCCACCTCCAATACATTTTGTGTGATCTTCACCAAACTAGGCCACAATTAGATCCAATCAGTCACATCTCAATCAATGTTTAATCTAGCTTTAAGTTATGTCATACTTTCATTATACTTAGTACGAGGATAGTGAAACGTGTCACCAAGAAAAAAATTCATTACTTTTTGAATATATTAGTCCATAAGAGAATAACACATTGTTTTTTGTCGGCTAGAACAACACATTGTATAGATTTGTTAGAATAAGGGTACATGTTAGATAATTTAAATATATATTCTCACATTTGGCAACGTCTAACAAATTCAAAGAAAAAACTTCTGTAACCCACTCGTATTTTCAATATTTTTTTCGTTATTAGTGGAAAAAAAAATTTATATAAGCGAAACAAACTTATTCCCGTTTCTTACAAGTTCATCAATAATAATACATAACATTTGTAAATAATACAGAAAAGGTTCTTGTCATTTTTTCTTTACATATGAATCTTTCTAGTTTGTTTTTGGGTTCAGAGGAAATCAACAGATGCCACAAGTAAAGAAGAAGAAACGATAGTAAACATTAGTCCCCACATGTTTCACTCCGTACTCATCATCACTACTTGGTTTCTGTATGTACAGAGAGATTAACACAATAACAAACTCCTTCTAATCAGAGCTTATGGCTCAAGCTTCATTTGAAGTGTTGGCTCAGAACCTGAAAACATAAAAAAGACAAAGAGAGATTATAGCATGAGAGACTAATTCTAAAGTTTCTCAATGGGACTCTCTGGTTCTAAGATTTTCTTACAGTTATTGTTGTTGTTACTCTGTTGCTGGATATCTCCAAAACCCATTTGAACAATGCTTTGCAGATCATTATTTTCCCAGAATCCTGGTGTCTGAAAGCAATCAGAAACACAAAAGGATTGAGCAAATCACCAAGAAACGAGTTTCTAGAATCTGACATTAACTAGTAGCTAACCTCAGGTTGAACAAATCCATCGCTGGAGGTGAATTGTGCGTCTGAGAATCTTGGCATGTTCTTGGCTAAAGAATAGTATCCTGAGGGAAGTCTTTGCTCTGAGCAAGCTATTGCGTAAAGAGACTGCGTTAAAGACTCTCCCTGCTGAATCATCTGTACATAACATACCAATGCAACACATTATAGATACAGAACATTTCGAAAAGAGCAACATGAGTACCGCAGATTCAAAAGCAGAGTTTTTTTTTTTACCTCTGTGGATAAAGCAGCATTAGAATTAAACTCCATTCTTGGATTTATAGTAGCCAGCTTCATGGACAAGAACTGAAGAAAACAGAGTTTCAGATTCAAGAAATACTAAACTCCGATTTCAAAAAACAGTTTTTAAAAAAATTCTCGGATTCTAATTTTATACCTCGACTTGTCTCTGCAATGACTGCACATAGTTTATAATCTCATCAAGCATGACTGCTTTCCCTGTAATCCGGTTGCAACCAGGAACAAGATCCTGAAGCAAAGTCATTCTCTCGCTGATCTTTTCTCTTCTTGCCTGACAAACCAAAACACACAAACATCAAACATTTATGTAAAATTCGAACTGAAAAACATCGAACAAAACACAGATCGGTTTTTCGAAAGGTGTTTAGTACTCTTTCAGCGAGGCTGTGACTATCCGTTGCTTGACCTCTTCTTGCTCTAACATGAATGTAATCTTTAAGCGGCTCAGGAGGCTTTGCATCGTCTTTGTTCTCGCCTTTACTATCACATTTCTCAACTCCGTTTTTACTGCTCCCAGCTTCATCCTGCTTGCTTCTCTTCCCAGCCTTGGATCCAACATTCTCTCCTGAAATCTGAATCACAAAAATCCCCAAATCAACATCTCAAGAGTATCAAGAACACACACTAAACATCTCAAGAGCATATCTGCTGCACTAAACCAAAACTCAACTCTCTTATGCATATGAAGATCAACACTTTCCTATAGTCAGAAGGAGCAAGAGAGAGATTGTGAAAATTCAAAACCTTGGAATTAGAAGCTGTGAGAGACGATGAAGCTGGAGATTCCTTGCCGTTTCCATTAGGGATCGATTTTCTCTTCCTGGAGTTTGATTTCGTGGGTTGAGCTCGATCCGAAACTGAATCTGGATCCAGCAACGAGCTCTTGTTGCTCTCCTGCGTTGTTGGTTGCGACCCGAATTCACGATCGGATCCGAATTGACCTGGATAGGGAGGGAACCGGATCCCTCCGGAGATGGGGAAATTCTCGGAGATCTGGGAATTGAGGGAGAAGGATTGTAGAGTTAACGGCGAAATCTCTTGAGGGTTGCAGAATCTTCCGAGGAAGTCGCCGATCGTTCCTTCGTTGCCGTTGCCAAAGGGATCGCTCTGACCCAAAGGTAAGTAATTTAGGGTTTGTTCCGTTTGCTTGTCCATGTTCATTTAAACAGCAGAGACTATTGTTGACTACCAAAATTGAGTAAATTTGAATTTTTCAAACAAACTCTCTGGGAATTCTGAAGAAAACCCAGATGAACCAATGAGTATCTGAATCAGAAAGAAACACAGAAAGCTGATTCTACATGAGAAAAAATCAGATTTTTTGAAACACAACCAAATCGAGGAAGTAGAGAAAAAGACAAACTTTTGTTTCTGTGTGATTCTTCTTCTCCAGACCCTAAACAAGTGACAGTTACGAACTGTACCAACCCAGAAAGAGAATGATTTTTCCAGGAAAATGTAAGCAGAAAGCTAACCAAGTTTGGGTTTTGTTTTTTGTCAAAGAGGAAATGAGTCCGGAAGAATTTTGCAGAGAGCTGAAACAAAGAAGCTTAGCAATTACTAGAAATGAAGAAGAATGATTGATCAATCAAAGTGGGAAAGAGAAAAGAGAAGGCGGTGACTTTTTTTACTGATCAGAGAGAAGGAAACAGAAGGAGAAGAAGAAGAAGGAGGCTAAGAGAAAATGACAAAAGCGAAAAAGAAAGAGGGAAAGTAATGATAATAAGAAATTTTAATTAAAGGAAATTAAAAAAAGAGCGAATTTTACAGTTCAAAAGGAGAAGAATCTTACGTGGGTTTATGTTAATGTGGGAACATTAGATGGTGAAAGTGGGTAGGCTGCTTAGGCTGGCCTCTGTAATCATTGGAGTGAGAGAAGAGAGAGAAGAGAAGAGAGAGCATGTGCATGGCAGAGACAGGAAAGTTGTGGGAGGGAGAAACAAACAAAAGGATAAAAAGGATTCTTAATTATCATCATGTTTAATTATTCTTGATTAAGAGACTAATTTTAAAATCCCAAAAAAGGTTATAAAGATACTCACCAAAACATGGAAATTTTGTCAGCTGTTTGATTGGTGTAAAAAAAAGTCAATAATTGACTTGAAGGGTTAGATCTTGAATATGAATAAGATGACTTAATGATCTTGAGTATATATCTTTGATGTTTTTGTATTCTGAGTTGTATGTTATTGAATTATAATGTGAATGAGTGTATCAACATATATTTTCATAGGTTGTGTGTCACATACAAATGAATTTGCATTGCCATTTTTGTAGCTCTCTGAAGTAGCTGCTCCACTCGAAGAATTACAAATCTTGTGGTGACCAAAGTTGAGAGATGCATAGAGCTGATTTGAGGTTGAGAAGCCATCCCTTTAGGGTTCTTAGGGGACGCGTTCTAGTACTCGCTGTAAAGCTTTCTTGATTCCTTGTTGATCTAGAGACGTCGTCAAGTGTATCTCTTGCACCTGAAAGGTTTAATCAAACCAACACTTTACTTAAAATCATCAAACCAAGAACGTATATGTGGACACGAATATGCATGAACGAAGTTTCAGGTGATGATAGCTTTTGAGATTTACCTGTCTTCCCGCACGTGCAAGAAGAACAAACTTCCCTTCAGAAGGCGGTGTCTGCGTTAAGTAAAGATGTTAAAGAATGAGGATTTTCACAATGTAACAAAACAAAAAGTTCATGCTTATTGGAAAATAAAGAGAACATAACTTACATTTGAGAGCCAAAGTTGTAAGTCTTGTGAAACCACTCTCTTCTCAAATCCTTGCCGATTGATTCTCACTGCTTCTATCCTGCAATGAAGAGATCATTGAGGAAATAAAATATAAGGATTGATCAAGGTGTAGTTTACACATTGAAAACCAGAATGTTCTTCCATTATTAGATGGTTCTGCCTAAAACATAGAATGGAAAGTATGTGATCATTAAGCAATCTTAAGCAGAAGCTATGCAGAGAGACGATTAGGACTGAAGTAGTAAATAATTTTTGTCTATACCCTTCTTCCTGTAATAGTTCTTCAAGTATTGTTTCAAGACCTGGAAGAGGTTCAATTGTATCCCCATTGTTGGAACTCAGCGAAGGAGATCCAGTAGAGCTGTCCTGTAATAACATTCAATATCTATTATAAATCACACTTATACCAACAAGAGAACAGAGAACAGAAACACATTCACATTGCTTACCTTCAAAATCACTTTGTCCAATGTTTCTAGAAGAGGATCATCTTCCAATTGTTTGATTGATAGTGTAATCCTTGATTTCTCTCTGCATTTGGGACAACTCTTAGATCACACGTTCACATGTCTAATAGAATTCAGTAACCAAATGAAGATAACTCACTTGTCAACATTTGTGACTATGACTCGAACCTCATCACCGTCACGTAGAACATCTCTAACATCTTGAACATAATCCCAAGAGACTTCAGAGACATGCACTAGTCCGGTTAGATGATAAAGACCTATAGCACCACCACATATATATCCATCAATGTCACAAGTTCAGTAGAAGAAGAAGCAGTTAAATAAAATGTGGTTAAAACGCAAATATAATACCATCATCGAAGCGTAAGTGGATAAAGGCACCATAGTCCTCAACAGAACCTACTCTTCCGGTGAATACATCACCGACGTTAACGTTTTGTGAATATTTTGGCCATAGTGCTAACTTCTCAGATAAAATCAACTTTCTATTCTCCTCATCAGCTTGAACAACCTAAATATAGATTTAATCTCAAATTATATGCTGTTACACGTTATGGGAGTTATCAAACGAAGGCAACAATTTACCTTAACAGAAAGTGTTGAACCGACCAAAGTCTTGGCTATCTCATGAATGCTTTTCTGAGGCTCTTCAATGTAAGAAGCGCAAGACCCATCAATGACACTTCTTCTCCAAAGACACGAATAGTTAAAGAAATGAGAGTTTTTGTTTACCTTTACAAGAACGTGAAGGGCTTAACTGTGGATAAGGAAGAAAACCAACAAGAGAATGAAAACGAACAAGCAAGCCTCCGCCATTAAAGCCTTCGACTTCACCTTCGAATGTGTCTCCACTCTTACAATAAGCCTTCGCCGTCTTCCAATCGCTAGAAATCTACTTCATTAACAAAATCATCAATTACGTTTAAAGTGAGCATTTTTCTTCTTCATCATATATCCAAAACAATTGCAAAAGAAAGGAACTTTCCCACAGCTATAGACCAGAATCTGCTCGGCATTACAACATTTCTTCGAAGATTCAGGAAAACAAGAGATGGGTCAGCAGTAAAACGCACCCGAGCAGGTCCGGCATCGGCGGAGGTATCCCGGAGAAGAGAATCGGAGGCGGAAAGGACGGAGGATTGATCGGAATTCGTGTCAGTGTCGGCGGTGACGGAACCCGAAAAGGATTTGACGACGCAGAGGAGAGAATTTCTATGTGAAGAAGACGAAGAGGAAGAAGACGATGATGAAGGAAGAAGTCTAAGAGGGCAAGAGAGAAAACAAGACTGTTGGTCGAATAGATGAGAGGAGAACGAAACGGAGCCCAAATTAGCGCCACCGAAAACCGCCATTGTTGCGCGGCAGAGCAAAAAGCAGAGATTGAAAGTGCCAATGGTAACGGATTTGGATAAGGAGAGAGGGAAAGTGAGAGACGGGAGATGAAGGTGACGTGGCACTTGTCAACTCACATAGAGCAAGTTTTCAAACATGTGGCGGAACTTAAGTGGATGGTGTTGCTAACTACAGTGTGTCTAGCAACAGAGGATAGTAATGAAAGGATCAATCTTTTTCGCTAAAACCCTTTCACTACTCTGGTTTTCTCGTTTTTTTCTCAGTCTGCAAAAGCATTTTCCCGAGAAAGATGAATTCAAACATTGCCCCACCATCGAAACAGCAAAATCAGCTGAATTTACAACAATCCTTCTCGAATATTCAGACCCAATGCTCCGATTTGCTCAAGAACGTCTCGCGAACCCTTAATCCTCTCTTAAACCATAACAAAACCGACGCTTCTCCTAAGCATCCCAATATCTTCTCTGCTCTCGAATCCTTGCGACTCCAAGCGAAACAAGCCATCGATTCCGGATTCTCTCGATTCAGCTCCGTTTCCCGCTCCGGTAACGCACCCGTCTGGGCGAGAATCTCTGACGACGGCGCGAAGACTCAAGTGGCGGCGGCGGCGGCTCCGATTGGCGCGGGATTATCCGCCGATGATATGGAGGAGAGGCTGGCGGGAGTTCCTGTTTACGCGCTGAGCAATTCGAATGAGGAGTTCGTGTTGGTGTCAGGTACTTCCACCGGGAAATCTCTGGGTTTGATGTTCTGTAAAGAGGAAGACGCGGAGGCGCTTCTTAAACAGATGAAGGCTATGGACCCTCGTATGAGGAAAGAAGGTTCCAAGGTTGTAGCTCTTGCTCTTAGCAAGGTAAGTTGGATTCAAAAGTCAATACTTAGTTCACTGGTTTTGCTTTTTGCTGAGATTCGTTTGTTGTTGTTATTGTTGCAGGTGTTCCAGTTAAAAGTTAATGGTGTGGCGTTTAGGTTAATCCCTGAGTCTACTCAAGTGAAGAATGCACTCAAGGTAAAGTTGATTTGCCATTAGAACATATCTTTGTTACATCTGCTGAACATGATTGAATCATTCATCACTGAGGAGCATTTTAATTACCGTAGGTGGTTTGTAGTGGATTGTAGCTATGTTGATAGCTGTGGATTGGTCTAAGACTAGCTTTTGGATTAGGAGTGTAGTGTTTTTTATGGGGATTTATCTTTGGTTCTTTGATTCGGTTTGTTATCAGTTGTCTTCTGTATATAGATACAGAGAGTGAATAAATAATTGAGAGAATCGTTTCTGGTTCTTATTATAGACTCTTCGTCTGTATCACATTTCTTATCTGATATGAAATCACATAATGTATGGTAAAAACAAAGCCTAGATGATGGAGATGCAAGAGATACGACTTCAGGCGACTCTTTGGATTTGTATCATACATACACGGAGATTCCATGTTGTAGCTACTATTGATACACGTACTGTGTCTAGAGATTACGCGTTTTGTGTTTGGCCTTAGATCCATTGCGGAGGTTTCTTAAGAAAATAACTGGGAAAAACTACACAAATGGCATTCAGTTTTGGTAAAACTTTTGCAACATATAGGTCTTATGGATGTAAATGATATATCCCTCTCTCTTCTGAATGTGCATTTGATTAGGCTCAGAGCTTAGATGATATATCTCTCTCTTCTGAATGTGTATTTGATTAGGCACAGAGCTTAAATGATATATCCCTCTCTCTCTCTCTCTCTGAATGTGTATTTGATTAGTCACAGAGTTTTAATGATATATCTCTCTCTTCTCTATGTGTGTATGCAGGAAAGGAAAACAGCTGGTATCACTGATGAAGGCTTCAACGGCGTTCCAGTTTTCCAGGTAATGTTCAAAAGAAGCCAATGCTTTCAAAACTTCTGACTTGGCTTTCGATATTTTAGTCAAATCTATCGGTTTATATAATATAGTTTTGGGTACTATTTCTCGGGCTGCATAACTGGAAACTGAAAAACAAAATCCAAGTTTATTGCTTCCTTTAGATGCTCCGAAACATGTTCTTTTCTTTAACAACTTCACTTGCTTTGCTTCAGTCAAAGAGCTTGATTCTACGAAGTGAAAACAAGAGTTATCGCCCTGTTTTCTTCAGAAAGGTTAGTTAAAACATACACGACCACGTTTCCCTTGTGTGATTATCAAAAAATTTGTCCATATACATTGGTTACATGATATCGGCAAGCTTGAAAGATGTGTTGAGTTTCTAACAGGAGGACTTGGAAAAATCCCTAACACGAGCTTCACGCCAACAGAACCGGCTTAACCCTGCTCTGAAACCAGGAGACATTCAGGTTTTTGTTGTTATCTCAATTTGAATCTCCTCATTGCTTCTCAATTCTTAAATTTTTCTAATCTCATATTGAAAATGCATGGTTTTATATTCCAAAAGGTTGCAGTTTTCGAAGAAATTGTCAAGGAAATGAAGGTAAGCAATCAAAGCGTATACGCCACGGAAGTCATTTCTAGGTCATTTTAAGAATGATTAGTTTGCTGAATCTGGTTTTGGATCGTAATCGCAGGAAAGTGCAACGTCAAACTGGGACGACATTGTGTTTATACCGCCTGGTTTTGAGGTTTCAACTGAGCAAACCACCCAGGAGTAGGTGATAATATCCTTGGTGCATCGTCAAACCCTAACCCACATTTTGTGTGCACTTGATTCAGACTCGGACTGAGAGAGAGATGTAGTATTTTGTTTATGTAACATTTCTAACAAATAGTTTTGACATCTTGCTATTAAGTTTATCAGTATCTGCTTTAGAAAACGTTGAATCAATGATGAGCGTTAGTATCTATCTTAGCTCGTACCAATGTTAAACATATAAGTGATCGACTAACCAACAAAATAATACAAATCCAATAATATTTCTCACAAACGTAGCATCATGACCATCAAGCTATGTGGTCACCAAGTATTCCACGTAACAAACAAAATTTGGAACAAAATATTAATCCAAAGCACTGGAAAACTATTTTGTGTGGACAACGCTTCTCACATCTGGAGCAAATAGGTCGAGACATATGTTGCTTGTTGGGCAGAACACTCACCTCTCTTCCACAGTAGATCCACAATGATAGAGATGAAACTTTTTTTTTCTCTTTTTTTATTGATATTATTATTTCAGGGTACTAAAAAGGTTTTAGGCATAGCATTGGATAGAGATGAAACTGATGATGATTTGCATATACATGAGAGTGCTTTCATAGAGATGAGTAATCTTCTTTTTCTAAAAATTTACACTAAGAAATGGGACCATAATAAAGAAATTAGATGGCAGCCTCATAAACTTAGATTAAGCTCTGACAATTATCCAATGAGTTGTATGCCTTCTAATTTTCGTCCACAAAACCTTATTAAACTCCAAATGCGCGATAGTAAGCTTGAGAACTTGAGGAAGGAAATCCTTGTAAGTATTTACTATTAATTTGGATCTTAAAATGAAAATTATTTTGGTTTGTACTTGGCAGTTTTTTAAGTGATTAGTATGTAACCTAATTATATTTTCAGTCTCTTACAGGGCTTAGGAATATGGATTTGCGGAGGTCTGAATATTTGAAAAAAATTCCAGATCTTTCTATGGCCATAATCTTGAAACACTTGATCTTAGAAAATGTTCGAGTTTGGTGGAGCTTCTTTCTTCTGTTCAATATCTCAATAAACTTAAGAAGCTGAACATGATGTTCTGCGAAAATCTAGAGACTCTTTCTACTGGAATAACCTCCAATCTCTGGATCACCTTGCATTGAATGGATATCTCAGAGCTTAATCTATGCAGAACAGCGATTGCAGAGTTCCCTTCTGACTTGTGCCTAGAGAATCTCGTGAGTTTTACCATGTGTACAATGGAAGGTGATACACTTTGGAACAGTGGCGGAGATAGAAAAAATATTTACAGGGGTCAATTTTTTTTTTTAATATAACTATATAAACTTTATTAGAAAAATTAATATACTATCATTAGATTTAAATGTATCACATATATATATAAGTTCACTCATATTTCTTGAATCGGTTCATCATGGTCATGCTTTGGTTTGTTAATGTGTTAAACACTTGTTTTCCAATAAAACAAACTATACAATCATCTAAAACATATATCCAATAAATGAGGAAACCTAGCCTATATGGTGAATTAGACTTATAAAAAAACAAATATTTACTTTTTATTTTATGTTTGATTCATAAAAAATTTAGTCTTACTTAATTAGTGGGTGTCTTTTTGTTTTAAAATTATTTGTGATAGTTATTGGGCTAACGTTCACTAATATTTATTGGATCATGGATCAGTTAAAAATCTAGAGGGGTCAATAATTATTTTGGACATGAATCAATTAAAAATACTTAGGAGGTGTTATTGGTTCTTGTATTTTAATGGATTTGAGAATCCAAACCAAATTCAGTGTTATTGGTTTTTATATTTTAAAATTTATATTGAAATACAGTGTTATTGGTTCTATGATTTTAAAATCCATAATGAAATACAGTGTTATTGGTTCTATCATTTTAGAATCTAAGTATTATAAGGATTTTAGTTTTAATTGAATTTGAATGGATTTGGAAGGATTTTCATGACTAAAATACAAAGACCCAAATACAAGGTCTAACCTTGGTATTTGAGTGGATTTGATTTTTTTCCATTTTGCTGATTTTGAAATCAATAAATTTATCAAATCCAAAGAAGATTTATAAATCCACCAAAATACAAGAACCAATAACCCCTACTTAATAAAAATATAGTTATTTTACTAATTTTCACATGGGTCAAATGACCCCCTAATTACAAGCTAGCTCCACCACTGCTTTGGAAACAAGTTCAGGTATGTACGTAACCTTTTCTCCAACAAACCTTTTATAAAACGTTATTGTCACTAGGTCAAATTTTCGAAACGTTGTAAAACAGAGTTTCTAGAGAAAAATATTTAGGTAATAGGTAACCAATAAGATTTTTATGTGAACATGCTATATATGTGAATGTTAGAGATGAGATTCGTACCATCTTTACAAGTCCGATATGACTTCTGGTCGGTCCATCTTACAAGGTTCAGGTCGGCCAAATAAATGGAAGTTTAGTCTGGTCGGCAAAGAGACTTTCCTATTTCAATCGGACATCGAAGACCGACATGGTCTGCTATAAATATGGGAAGTCTTCGACTTCTCAGATAATCTAAAAATCATCTCTCGAGACCTAGGGCAAATTAAGCAATCTTATTGTTCAAGCTCTCGATTCTACTTCCTTAAAAGTTTAGGTCGGCGTTCTTATTCCGACGACTTAAGTCACCATGTATTCTCCCAAAGCTTCGGCTAATTCTTAATAAAGATCTCTCTTTAAACCCACAAACCCTAGTTCTCTTTAAAGTCAAACTTAAGTTTTTACAGTTGGCGCCGTCTGTGGGGAATAAGAGATAAATCTTTGAAAGAAAATCGGAGCTTGAAGATGGTTGAAACACCTATCAACCCTGGTACCACCGACCTCACCGGAGGACCCACCGATCCCACCAGAAACACCTAGGAGCCGATCATAGATCCGGTCACCGGACTCCAGTGGTCAACCAGACCGATCTGTAAGACGACACGGTTGCCGCCCAGAACACCTGCGAGGCAGACCAGGTCGGCCAAACTGGTGGAACAAACACGACCGACCTGCCACAACCGCCTCCCATTGACATGGCCAGCCTCATCAGATCGGTCGCAGCACAGCTACAACAGGGCATGGATGCTCGCTTCGAGTCCCTCCGTGCCGAACAGATCGCCTATCGAGAAGACCTAGATCGGCTTCTCAACGCTAGGGTTCATACCCAAGAGCAGACCGATCTGATCACGCCCCGCGCCTGACGATCCGCAACACAGAAACGACAAGACTGGTCAACAACCTGTTCGGCACCACACCGACAGACGACTTACGGAGAGCACAGGTGGAAGGCTTCAACGCTCGCTCATCCTGTAACACCACAGGTGCCGACCTGACGACGGTCTCTGAACTCGACCTTCTTCATCAACGCCTTGACGATATAAACAGCAAGATCCACAAGGCGATGACATCAGCGCCGAAGTTGGACAAAATCCTGCAACAAACGTAGCAGACCCCGTTCATATCGGCCATCACTAAGGCTCCTCTCAAGGACATAGGCCGGATAAAGCTGCCCCCAAGTTACACCGGCACGACGGATCCGAAGCGACACTTGACTGCGTTAAACGCAGTCATGAGATGAGCTCGCTTCATGGACGAAGAGCGGGACGCATGCCTCTATCAATACTTTATGAAGACGCTCTCCGGAAGCGCCCTCACCTGGTTCTCACAACTTCCTCCAAATTCCATCGACAGCTACAAGGAACTCACATGTCGGTTCCTTAAACATTATTCGATCTACATCGACACGGAGTCTACAGCGCTTGATCTATGGGCGTGTGTCCAGGGCGACATGGAACCGTTGCGCGACTTCATCGATCGGTTCCGATCTATCATTTTCTGATGCAGCTTGCCGGACAAGCTATCTCTCAACATCCTCATCAGGAACTTGAGAGACGATCAATCGTACTGCGAGAGATTGAAAACTGGGAAGACCAAAACCCTAGAAGACGCCTTGCATAAAGCGACCGGTTATATCAGGCTCGAAGAAGATAGGGCAGCCAAGGTCAAAGCCAAGTTGGCCGATCAAAAATCTTCGAGCGATAAGAAACCTCGATCGGCAAACCAGAATAGCCACCAGGAGCCATGACAGCACAATGACAAAGAAGACAAGAGCCGCAAGAGTATCAACGCCGTTGGACGATAGATGAAGTGGAACATTTGGGATCGCCTGAGCGCCAAAGATCGCGATAGCAAGAAGCTGTGGTGCAAATACCACAAGGCGTACGGCCATCACACCGATGATTATGGTACTCTTCCGGCCCTCTTGCGGAAGGCGTGGAAAGATGGTGAATGCACCATACCAGAGCCCCGAAGTTTAGCACGACGATCTGATGATGATCAGGACAGGCGACCTGACAGCGATCGAGATAGAAGAGCCGATGCTGATCGTCCATCCACCAAACGCAAAGGGAATGAAACAAAAGGTGACCGTGAAGACGACCACACACCCCCAACTTTGCCTCGACGATGGATCAACATGATTATGGGAGGACTCCTCTCATGCACCGACTCCATTAATTTGATCAAACGGCACGAGCGAAAGACCGTTAATCCCCCGAAGGATGCCCCACCACTGTTCAAAGACGACCTACCAATCACGTTTACAAAGCAAGACGTGCAGAACATTGACCGCCCGCATAACGATCCACTCGTCATCTCAGTCAGGCTCGGAGGGGATGACGTCTCGAAGATATTGATCGACACAGGAAGCTCGGTTGACCTCATCTTCATGGACACGCTGCACAAGATGAGCATCACCGAACGGGATATAAAAATCGCACCATCACCCCCTCACTAGGTTTGCTGGAGATTCATTCTCCACGATCAGGACCATAACGATGCCAGTAACCATAGGAGGAAAATCCATTACGGTGACGTTCGAGGTCATTGACCGACCTGCGATCTATAATGCTATCCTGGGAACACCCTGGTTGAACGCCATGCGAGCCATCCCATCTCCTTACCACCAGTGCATCAAAATGTCGGTCAGAGGCCGTATCTTCACCATTCGTGGTGATCAGACAATATCTTGGTATTATTACGTCGACAAGCAGAGTGCCCGCAAGGCATCAACGTTCGTGATCGGCAGCAGCAGTGACTTCGATCCACGGATAGTTCACCACGAGAAGCCAAAGAGCGACCTCATTATTCAAGTCAACATCGATGTCGCTCACCCCGAGCATTGCATCGGCATCGGCGCAGAGCTACTGCCAAGTATGC